CTGGGGTGAGCTAAAAAGCTTAACAGGTCAAAGTTTTGGTGAGGTCACCGCAAGCCTACAACTAGCCGAAAAGCGGGCTACGCCTCTGGCAACTGTATAGATAATAAGGTACAGTAACAGGTATATACCGTAGACCATAAACCACTGTACAACAGTATTTTTTGAGGAAAAATATTTTAAAAAAGTATACTGCAACATCTTCATTACCAACTTTTAATCTTTTAGTTTACCACTCCTTAAGGTGGGTAGGTTCTGAAGTTGCTCCTTTTCGAGATCTTCATCAGAGTTATTAGTGGGGCCATGGGGGAGGACAGGAGGGATGGGGGTTAGGGATAATACACAGTGGAATGGGTACATGGGGCAGGAGGGATACATAGGGCAGGAGGGGTACATAGCGCAGGAGGGTAGACGGTGGGAGAAAACGAGATGGGAGGTGGGAGTTTTAAATGGGTGGGAAGCAGAAGAAATAGGAGGAAATTTTGCAACAAAAATCAATGTTTTGCAATCCAAGATGACCTAAAGGGAAGAGGCAAGAAAAAAAAAGAGTGGGGAGGTTTACCCCACCTGTCCCACCCCACCCCCTTATTGGGGGAGTCACATTACCGTCTTCCCATGATTAAAAATAGATATAGCTATAGAAAAATGAGGTCCGATGTGACTATTGGTTTTATCTCAAATTCTTTATTTTTAGGTTTATGGTTCATATTTTTGCTGTCAATACAACCTTCTAGATCCAAAGAACTGAATGCCACAAAGTAAGTCCGTCACCTTGTGTACCTAGTAACTACCTTTGAAGCCAGAAGCATAAAAATCAGGAAATTTGGTCATGTTTTCTCAATAGTTAAAATGTTAAAGAATATCAATGATGCTACTAAAAATTTATTGTATCTAAGCAACTGATAAATTTTAATGCCTGCTGATGTAATTCTCCAGGATTTTTGGTACCACACCCAAATAAGGAATTCCAAACTTTTTGACAGCTCTGGCACTGATACACTTTAACTCCAGTTTTCTTCTCTCTGAAAGAATCATGCAAGCTTGATCAGTTCCAGCCATGTCCATGGGTGTTTTACCATCATTGTTGACAAAATCATGATGAGCACCTCCATAAAACAAAAGCTGCAGGATTTCAGTAACAAGATAAAGTTTGTCATTCCTGGGTTCTAACATGACAGCTATGTGAAGTGGAGTGTTTCCTTCATTGTTGATGACATTAAAATTGAACCCTTTGTTCAAAAGAAGATTCACTGCTTGAAGACAAGGAGATGAATCATCATCGTCTGGGCACCTTTTGATGAACTCATGTAACAGTGTATTTCCATATCTGTTTCTAGGATCCTGCATGAAAAGTTTCCTCAACAACATGGTCAAACTTGATGCATTCCTCTCGTCACAAAATTCAAATTTTGAAATCATGAGCACAAGTTCAAGTGAACAGTCAAAGAGATCCTCCTGGACCAGCTCTTGACAGTATTGCTTGTTATCATTTAATCTTCTTCTCTTTGTATATTGCTTCTCATACTCAATAACTATTTGCCTCAGCAATTCAAGCAAATCCTTTTCTTTTAGATGATTACTCCCACTGCAAATTTTATGCAATAAATGACTTATTTCCTGAAAATCATCACGGGCAGATAAATTAGATTTCTGTGCTATATCCACCGCACGACTATACAATGCTATTAGTAAGGATGGATCAGTAAGGTTGCAACTGCTACAAACAAATCTAATCGATCGAAGTAGCTCACTGTGGTTTGTTCCAAGGATTCTCTCTTTAATAAGAAGGGATTCCATTAGGATAGCCTCAGTGTCACCTTCTATCTGAGCAAGTTCCTCAGGGGTTTGGCTGTCTTTTCTGTTGCCATAAGCAGGTTTCTTCGGTTGTTTTAATATAGGCTGAGATGGATCCACAAATCTCTCTTCCATGCCACGCTTGATGTACATCAGTCCTTCCGCAACAAAAAAACTAAGAAGACTAAACTCTTTATATTGAGTGGCACGAGAGGCACCAAGCAGCTCTAGAGCATCCACTCTTTGCTCTTTTGTTATTTCTGGTCTCTTAATTAAATACTCCACCACTCCAATACTTGCACTAATGCTGGCTTGATGAAGCGGTGTTAGTCCTTTGTTGTTGCACATGTCGGATGCCCCAAGATTTAGCAGCATTTTAACAATCTCAGGAAAATCAAACGTTACTGCATAGTGAAGAGCTGTGTCACCATTGTTGTCTCTAAGATCCACATTAGCTCCATGTTTGATAAGAAAGGTCACTGCCTTCACATGGTCATGCAAACTTGTTTCTTCCACAAATTTATTGCGATCAACACCTTGTAAACTAAAATAATTATTAATCTCATCTGAGAGATTAGGACCTTGTGCAGCATATTGAAGTGCTGTTGTTCCAATTTCATCTTGAAGGTCCACTTTAGCTCCATGTTCAATAAGAAATGCCATAGCATTCACATGACCAAAATAGCTTGCTAACATCAATGGGGTCTCATAACGAAATGTAAATGCATTGACATCAGCTTCATTTTTTATCAAACAATTCAAAACCTCAATTGAGGCATGAGGACTATACATTAGAGCATAATGAAGAGCTGTTTGACCATCTTTGTCTTTAAGATCTACATAAGCACCACATTTAACGAGAGTGGTGACTGCATTTATATGACCATTTTCAGCTGCTATCATCAGAGGAGTGCCTTTATTTTTTGCACATGCATTGACATCAGCTCCAATTCCAATCAAATAACTCAAAATCTCGCATGAGACATCAGAACCACACATAGCATAGTGAAGGGCTGTTTTATCATCCTCATCTCGAAGACCTGCATGGGCTCCATGTTCAGTGAGAAAGGTGACTGCATTCAAGTGACCATATTCACATGCCATCATCAAAGGGGTGCTTTTGTTCTTTGCACGTGCATTGACATCAGCTCCTGTTTCAATCAAACAACTCAAAATCTCACATGAACTATGGAATCTGCAAGCATGGTGGAGAGCTGTGTAACAATATTCGTCTTTAGGAGACACATTAGCTCCATGTTCAATGAGACAGGTGACTGCATTCGAATGACCATATTCACATGCCATCATCAAAGGGGTTCTTTTGATTTTTGTACGAGCATTGACATCAGCTCCAATTTCAATCAAACATTTCAGAATCTCCAGTGAGGCATCAGAACCATGTACAGTGTGGTGAAGGGCTGATCGACCATATTTGTCTTGAAGATTCACATTAGCTCCATGTTCAATGAGAAAGGTTGCTACACTAACGTGGCCTTTTTCAACCGGTGTCATCAGAGGGTTTTGGGTTCCAAGACATCTCGAAACATCTCGTGTGGTATCACAACTATGTACAGCATAGTGAAGAGCTGTTTTACCATCTTTGTCTTGAAGATCCACAATAGCACCACGTTCCATGAGAAAGGTCACTGCATTAATGCAGCCCATTTTGGCTGCTATCATCAGAGGGGTCAGCATTCTTTTTGATGATGCATTGATATCAGCGCCATTTTTAGTCAAACAATTTAAAACTTCACAGGAGGCATCAAAACCACGTACAGCACAGAAAAGAGCTGTTTCACCATAATTTTGGTCCTGAAGATCCACATCAGCTCCATTTCTAATAAGAAATGTTACTGCATTTATATGACCCTTTTCAGCTGCTATCATAAGAGGGGTGTGGTTGATATTACCACCTGCATTGACATCAGCTCCCATTTCAATCAAACAACTCAAAATCTCACATGAGACATCAGAACCATAAACAGCATGGTGAAGAGCTGTTTTGCCATTTTTGTCTTGAAGATCCGCATCAGCTCCAAATTTAATGAGGAGAGTGAGTGCATTTATGTGACCCTTTTCAGCTGCTATCATAAGAGGGGTGAGTTTGTCATTACTACCTGTATTGATATCAGCTCCCTTCTGGATCAAACAACACAAAATCTCAAACGAAAAATTAAGACTACCTAGTGCATAATGAAGAGCTGTTTTACCATAGTTGTCTTGAAGATCCACATTAGTTCCTTGTTTAATGAGGAAAGTAACAACACTTACGAGACTATCTTCAGCTGCTATCATCAGAGGGGTCATTCCATCATTTAAACATGCATTGATGTCAGCTCCCTTTTCCAACAAACAACTAAAAACCTCAGGTGAGCTATTATTAATACAAGCATAGTGTAGGACTTTATAGCCACATTCATCTGTAAGAGTAACATCAGCTCCACGTTCAGTAAGAAAGGTGACTGCACTTGCGTGACCATTTTCAATTGCCATCATGAGAGGCGTGACTGAAGAACACGCATTAACATCAGCCCCATTTTCAAATAAATATCTCAAAACTTCTAGAGAGCCATGATCAATACAAGCATAGTGAAGAGCTGTAAAGCCACTGTCATCTGTAAGAGCCACATTGGCTCCGTACTGAATAAGAACGTTAACAGTGTTTGTGTGACCATTTTCAATTGCCAACATCAGAGGGGTGCAGTTATGATCTGCCGTACATGCATTGATATCAGCGCCATTTTCAATGAAAAACATCAAAATATCAGTATATCCATTAGCGGCAGACAAAAACAATCCTTCCTGAGCTTCTATGTCTACGCTGTACGGCATAAGTACCTTAACGCTGGCGAGATCTCCATTCTGAACTGCAGTTACAAGCGCAGACTTGCCAACCGGAAATTCACTGGCGCCAATGATTGATCTGCAGATAACCCGGAAGCTCTTTCACTTCTATTGATATTTTCGAGAATCTCATTGAGTAAACCGCATCTCTAGCCATTAAGGCCTCAAATATTTCTTTGGTTCGATTATCAGCCATAGGAGAGTGAAAATGAACAATTTCGTATGTGAGAATGAGGGAAATATTAACAAGGTATGCGCGCATGCTCATGCTTTTTGCACAAAAATACGTTCCGCTGACAAAGTGTGGAATTTCAGTCCCACCATCGGCATTTTACGATTTCATTTGCAAAATACAGAAAATTGCCATGAGTTCTGAAGTGCAGCAACAAATTCAGCAGGATTGGGAGAACGGAGAATTCATAGAAATTGTCTCTGAGGGAATAAAAAAGATTGCAGAGTTCCTAAGCGACTTTGGTAAGCCAAAGATTTTCTCACTTTGACTGACTACTGCAATGAGCAATATATTTGTTTACTACTTAAAAAGTCAAGTTATATAGCGTTAGGAACATAAAATGTTATGCCTACACTGATATGTACATATTTTGGGAGTATGCTATGACTAAATCTTAATTTAGAACCGATGCATGGACACTTTTTAATACCACATCTCTTCAAATGCCAGATATGTCATGCAGATCAAGATTAGCGAAGATAAATGATCAACTAACATCACTTGAACAGAGAGTGGAATTTATTGAAGCCAGAGTAAGTAGCCCCTGGACCTAGTTCAGGGACACGCAACGACGGTTTCAAAATACACTGGAATCGTTTTTTACGGTATACAGGGCTCATCCTTGCCTTGGTGTAAAAACCTGAGAAATTCACAATTTGATGTTAAACAATGAATACAAGAAGCCACTGAAAAGTCAACACAATAGAGCCAAGGAAAAATAAAAGCTAAAAAACAAAGGAAAACTTCTCAGGTTTTTACACCGAGGTAAACCCCTATCCAGAGTACTTTTTAAAATACTCTGAATCGATCTCAAGAATTGCATCTTAAACGGTGCGATGAAATGTTTTTGCCTGTTTGGTCAGCCTAGGGGAACTTGAGTCATTTTGAATCTACAAGGGCCCAGTATTATTTTCCCCAAAATTTTAAATGCAATTAAGTGTATTACGGAAGTGAGCATTTTTCTGATTTCTTCTGTTTGTCCATCACATTAATTATTTTTTGAATCCGAACATTGTAGGTTTCCTTTTTGTACGAAAACTAGCCTAACCTGGGTAGTGAAAGGTAAAGAATTGAACTTCATTTGGAAAAAAGTAGAAAAGCTTTGACAAACTCTTCATGAATAGAATGGTCATCTAGAAAACTTTAAGCGTCCTCAAACAATAGAAAATTCTAGGCAATATTAATTGCTTCTCTGAACAGATATTTTACAGAAACAGTCGTTGGGTGTCCCTTCAAATCCCTGGACCAAAATCTAACCCCTAAAAAATCCCATGATGCAGAATTTCTGAGCCATAAAAATTTTTTTGCGGAACTACACAGCCAGGATACGTGGGAACTAGCACCAATCTTCAGATTGTTTTGAATACTCCAAAAAATCCGTACTGAAAATTATGAAGCTACCCCCAAAAATACTTGCCAAAATTTTCTAAACCAAAAAATCCTGAAAATGAACATTTTAAACCCCAAAATTCCTTCGATCATCCCTGTCACTTGAAATCTGGAGTACCCCCCTGGGGTTCCAGCCTAGTGCCCCTGTCCAGGGTTTTCTTTGAAAGACTTTACAAGTAGTAGCAGATTCAGACCTTCAGATAAGGTAGGGAGGGGTTATCCAGATCCTGAGGAGATAAGCGGGGGACCCGGTCTCAAATGATACATTCAAAATTGAATTCGTCATCATTATTGAGGGAGACCTGGATTACAGGAATTGAGACTGCGGTGATATTATGGTGTAATCAGCAAATAAATTATGCTAAAATCAGGCTGCCATCAATCATAAAATCGATTCTTTGTCTGAGACAAAATACTTCACCACTGATACATTTCTTGCCTGCCAAGAGGAAATGTGAATTATGAAGTCAAAATTATTATTCTTTGACTGTTGAGCAAAAGGAAAAGTCTTCTAAGTCTCATAGACTCTCTCAACCTCAAAAACACCCAGCTATTGTCAGGTATAATTTCTTCATGTAAGACCTCACTGATGATTACTGAGGTGCAGGCCATAACAATCATTCAAAGGTCAAAACACTCTTACTCCAATGCTCCAATGTAAGTTTCACTTGATAGATCATCGAAACATGCATGATTAGATTCCAAGTGACAGAAGGTCATATGCACTTTCAAGATCAGATTGCATTCTGTGCATTGCATTCATTCTTAGTGGCAGTCCAAACAAAGTTACAATCGGCAGCAAAATGAGTTGAGACACTTTGCCCTTAATGGGTGGTTTTTACGTTTTCCTGACTTCAAAAGGAGGAAATATGGCTTTTCCTCCCCCATCCCCTCGATGCAATGAGGGGGGTAAAGGGGTTATTGTGTGATACGTGATTAAGTGTTTTTAATTTTTGTGAAAGGTGAAAATACGAAATTAAAACCCGTGAACTGTGACTGGTTTGCTTGTTGTGATACGTGAACTTTAAATCACCCGATATTCGTGATTTTCAACTAATTTTTTCGTGAAATAGTCTCAACTGAAGACAAATCCTACGGGGAAACCACTGGACTTTCAAAATAATGAACTTTTCTAAAAGATCTTAAAAACTCAAAGGCCGGTTATTTAAACGAAGTTTAGCCAGTGGTTGACAAAACCGTGTTCTAAGCCATTTTCAATGTTTTCAACGCTTTATCTTAACACCGGTTATGGTGAAAGTTTCATGGCAGCAACAGGGTAGACTAGGGTCGTATACGTTGCCATATGGTACAATGTATACAATTTTCCCCTGACCCATTTAGCTTTCAGTTGATGTTAATACATTGGTAAGCAGCCACGTCAGCAAAGATAGATCTTTCCAGCAATACCTCATTTTGGAATATTCTGACTAACCCTGACAGAGTTACACTCACAAAAAAGGTAAGATTTGGGGAACATTCCACTGCCAATTTTGCTGTTTACATACTACTCCTTGAAAATTAAATTTGTCCCTTACCTGAAAAGTTAGCCAGCCACAATTCCATACAAAAGAAAGACGATAAAGTGGGCAACAAAACCACCAATAAAGAAGGAAAAAAAGAGAGCGAGAGAGAAAGATTGAAATAGATTCGCCAAAAAAAGTCCAAATTTTGGCTTTTGCGCGTGTGTGAAAAACAAAAAAACTGTTTGATTACGTCAGTTTAGTTGGAAAATTTTTTTTTCTCGAAACACTCGTTTTTAGCCATAGTCATGCTAATTAGCCGAAAACTAGTCCAAGGAAGACCCCCAAGGAAGAGGAATTGGTGGAAAATGCTGTTTTTTCGCTACTCGCGGGCCGTCACCAAAGGGTTAAAATAACCCACTTAGAAAGAGATCTGGATGCCCAATGATTTCTTAAACCACGGCCTAAGTTGGGCTTTGTTTTAAATTAATAACAGGCCCTTATAGTCGTTCCTATTATATATGTCGTCCTAAACTATGACCAAGCCTGCGAGAGCAGACAACTTTTTTGGCTCTTGTTTCACCCGCCGAGAAAAGGGCGTCTGCGATCCCGAGCTGGGAAACGATTTCCGTGAGCTGATGGGTCAGTTTTTTTTTCAAGCAATCATAATTCAACTCTTATTTTCATGGAGGTAACACATGTGGGGTTTGCATGGGGATCTTGGTTGCAATGGCCGGCAGTTTTTAAATTAGAGGGACAAGTTTTTAAATTGGAAGGAGTAATATATTATGTAGATCCTAAATCTGTGGGATCTATGGGTTTTCCTGGAGGGAAATAACTAATTCAAATACCGGTACCCATAAACAGTAAACATTCATCCCTTGAAGCTTTTAAACGTCACATCATTGAGTAGACTGGTTTGAAATCTTAGTCCGAAAAGCGTGGTCTAATAAGGTCCTCGACTGAAATAAAACTCTAGATCTGTTGGTTAGAAAAGTCTGCAGAATAAAGCAAAGCTTCTGCGGTAAACAACGACGACAACGAGGATGAAATGACTTTTCTAAGAGCAGTTACTAAACTCGCAGCAGAAGAACCGTCAGACTCAACTTTGAGACAAGGGAGAGTCAAATGACGTTCCTTTTGAGTACTATATATTCGTCAGCATTAATCATATTCAGTTTACCTACACCTACATTTCACTGTTTGTTTACCTGACTTCCGTGACTTCTCTGTATTAGTTGTGCGGGAGGCACAAAAAGCGAAAGACAGCGGCATCCTGAACAGGTCGAGCCATGCACTGACTGTCCTGTTACTTCGGAAATATCCATGAAACATGAACACGGAATTTTAATCCCCGTGATGCGTTATTTCTACTTTTTAATTTTCGTGATTCGTGCGTAGGACCCCCCCCCCTTTTACCCCCCTCTTAGTAGTTTCACTGTGCACTGTGGGGTACCCAAAACGCTGACTCGGTTTTAGGGTCTTTGTCCATTGTTTGTTTGTCTTATGTTCTGTTGTTCTCTCGTAACAAAATATTAATTAGAAAGCAAAAAAAATATATATATTTGGCGTTTTACCGACCCTTAATTAATCCATCTGCGTCGGAGAGGTTCGTCTATATCATTATTCATTTCCATCTTGTTTTTCAATTTGACAGGATCAACTCGCTGAGTGGCAATTTTTACCTAAGTAGCCTTGTGGATTTTAGTGCACTATGGACTAATATTTCAGCCGAGGTAACTACCATTTATAATAGAAGTCTTTATTTTAGTTCGATCTCATCCCCAGGGGCTTCTCGGTTTGAAAACGAGAAGACCTAAGGGACGAGTTTGCAAATTTTCAGACAAATGGTCTCTATAAGGGTAAAGACACTTAGAAATACAAATTTAGCAGCTTCAAGGCATATTAAAAGAGAAAAGGCTCACTTCCGATTGACATTGCGTCACTCAAAAATGCCTTTGCTTATCCCCCTAATGAAATAGGAAGATGAACATGCATGAATGTATCTTTAAAATAATCCATTGACCCTTGAAATCTTTCGATAGTATTTAGTGGTACAAAAGATCTGCATGGAAATAACTGACAAGTAACTTTTGCAGGAATCGTATTAAAGTTGGCCCAACTTTTTCAAGTTTCAACCCATTTTCATCCTTGCTAATAAGTTCTAGACAGTAAAACGCCATGGAAAGGCCCTTTAGAACAAACTATCTCAACTAATTTTGTCAGCCATTGTCGTTAAAATGAACAGAAAACGGTGCACATTGCTGTTTGCAATGTGCACCGAATTAAGTCTCCAACAGATTTCTGGATTTTACCATCTAATGAAAACTAAAACAAGAGATTTGAACAGTTAATCACATGTATTATTAGACAGTAGTAACACACAAAAGGAAAAATAGTCAGTGAATAGTAAATTACAAAACTAGACCATTAATTGTTGGAATGCAATTAGTACAAAGACATGTTTTAGCTTAAAGGACAGCAAATAGCGCAAAATAACCCTTTCATATATCTTTTGCTGTGTCTGTTTGCCTTTTTTTGAAGTTAAATCCAGATGAGATGACATTTGTTCTGGGTGGTGAGATGGCCATGTGGACTGATGATTACTGCTTTGTAGCTCAGTGTTTTCTGTACAAATGAGGAAAACCTGACGCATGGTGGATGTTTGGACCCGAGAGCGATTCACAGTTTACTGAGTCAGTGAGTGGAATTTTAAGTATCTCTAGTTGTAAATACAGTAAACCTCCTCTTATTAGTCCCCCCAACCCCCACTTATAAGTGTCCCCAGTTACAGGCCCATTTAACTGTAACCAAAACAATACACCCCCCTCCCGGATATAAGCCTCCTCCCCCCCCCTCCCCCCCACTGACAAGTTCCCCAGTTACAGGCCCATTTACTTGTAAACAACAAAAAAATACACCCGGTTATTAGGGACCAGTCATAATTTAAGTTGGAGGGAGCGGGGTGGGGGGTGGAGGAGAAATTGAGGGGCCTTCAATTTTTTTTGGATAAAATATGGGGGCCTTATAATGCCAAAAGATGACCTTGGGGGTTGTTCAAGTTTCTTTTAAGTAGCATCCCTACTGAGCAGCATGATGCTTGAGTATTAAAGGACCTGATTGTGATTCAGTTTTACACAAAGTCCTATATTGTGTAATACTAAAACAATTTAATCAGCATTTTGACAAAAAGATTTAATGCTCAAATAGTAGGTGCGTCAACACAACATCCATTATTGTGTAACACTGAAACAATTTCATCGGCATTTTAACAAATGATTACATGCATAAAGTCATGTTATGCAATCTCGCTCTCCGAATCATTATTTGTAGATGAGGTTGATGTGGACTCACTGTCTGTGTCACTGACAAGTTTTTTGCTATTAGAGCATGTACTGCTCATATAAAAAGCAGTATGCTTTGGCTGATTATCTTCTTTCTTCCTTGAAGCGGTCCTGTTGGCCTCTAACCTTTCGATGGCTTGTCTTATCTCAATTATAACACAGTCACTGATATATCCTTGCTCTATAAGCTGTTTGAGAGGCTCTAGGTGAAATCTCTTTCTCAGTTTAGTGTGAAGTGCTTCCCTGTTGAGGTTATTACTGTCAATCACAGGAATACTGGCTTTTTGAGTGATATCTATTTCTCCATTCCCAGTCAAAAGTTTACACACCTCTTTAGCCTGCCTTGACAATACTTTCCGCTTCCTGGTCTTGTTCTTTCTTTTTTGTTCTTTCATTCTTCTCTTCCTTCTCAGTTCTTCAGCCTTAGTGTAAGCAGTTTGGTTATATCTTCTACGTAAGGCAAGAAATACAGTATTGACATTGTCCAGCATGTGAAAAAAGTGTTCCCTTTATTTCTTCTAAGGCTTGAAGCTTTACTTCAACATACCTTACAACTGTGCTCTTTCCCCCTGGAACTAAATCAAGGGAGGAAAGATAAAAATTTGTCCTTTTCTCTGATACCCATTTGGGTATTATGTAAGAAAGGAGGGCCCTTAAATCTTTAACATGATTGAAGGGGGGAGTTCCTAAAAAACATGGGTGCTATTGAGTAGGGGTCTGGAAATAACTTGAGATAAAAAAACAATTTCTCCTCCCCCCCCTCCAACTTAAATTATGACTGGTCCCTTAGCCCCCGCAAATACAAGACCCCCCACTTATAAGTTCCAGGCAGTAAAACGCTAGAGAGGTCCTTTGGAACAAACTATCTCCACTACTTTAGTCAGCCAATTGTCGATAAAATCAACAGAAAACGGTGCCTTGCAAACAGCAATGTGCACAGAATGACGTGTCCACCAGATTTCTAGATTTAACCATCTAAAGAAAACTAAAACAAGAGATTTGAAGAGTTAATTCAATATAATATTATTATTATTCCGGAATACAGTTAATCGAACTTGCTAAAGAGAGCCAGAGCGGCAAACCTGGCGAGCCCGTCCCTTGGAATCAGGTCCTGATACAAATGGTCTTTACTAGGTTTTTCGGGATGCGGAAGTTTTCTTATTTGAAGGCTGGGACTCGGGATTTTAAAACTAAAAGGGGGCGGGGTTCGGGATTGAAAAATAGCTTGGTATAGGGGTAACCATCGGCATTACGGAAATGCAGGAAAATTTAGGTCGGGATGACCTGATTGAAGAATTATACTGGGACACTTCGATATATGCTAATGAAACAATAAACTTTCAGATTTGGCCCAGTGCCATTGTTGGAGCTGGTTCATTTTGTAATTATCAGTCAAAACTAACTCCTGATAGCAAAGAGTTCGCGATGATGATAGATACTCAACACAAGGTGAGTGGTTATGTTAGATTTATCGAGCAACTTGTAATTGTCCTGACCTGATTGGTCAAATGTATTGTCTACTACTGGTAAGGTCACAAAGCCAAGTAAAAAGAAATTGAGCGAACTTTCCGCACACCCTTCAGCCGCCAGAGGGCGCCCGCGTGTAACTACGTCCCTTTTACCACTCGTGACGTCATCAGTTTGACGGTCATTGTCCAACCTCGTTTCCAGTGTTCGCTCTCTTGCTCCGAGAGAGAATCTTTCTTTCTTGAAGCAAGAGAGAGAACTCTGGGAACGAGGTTGGTCATTGTCAACTTTGACACTTAACTTGTGCAGGGGAACAAGATCTTTGAAACCATACCCAAATAAGCGCCGTTCAGTGAAACATAAACGAGAAAATGGGCAACAAATAATGTAGCTTTAACTAGAAAATATTGCAATGAAACTCTTGTTTCACAAGCCCCCTGAAATGCCTTGAAATACACTTCTTGAACTTCGGGGATTTTGCGAAAACCTCTTTCTGCTAAAAAAAAAAAGCACTGTAAATGCCCAGGGACAGAAAAAAGGACTTGGGAAAAGCGAATAAATCAAGGAGGAAAAAATTGACTGCGCATGCGCTAACTCCGAAAGTGTAATTTGGGTTTTGGCATCAGGATCGAGTAAATTACAAAGCAAACAAATTAAGCGTACCGATTGAATGATAAAACAATTAGTGAGCTCGGTTTGAAAAAAATAAAATAGTGGTTTCTTATTGTATCACAGATCAATTATTTGCTACCGCCCTCGGCATAGACCGACGAAACACATAACTTTTCTCTCCCTCCTCCAATAATTGTTAATTATCTGTTCTTGTAGAGAATGGTGCAGCGTGGCATCCTTACTTGTCCTTCCGGGTGTAAATGTGACGTCCTCACTAGATGTGGTCAAAAGTATCCACAGCCCTATTGACTAATTGTTAGAATAAGTTAGCTTAGGAAGAGTGATTTTATGTGACATATCTTATTTATGTTATGGAGAACTCCACGCACTGAAAGTTTTAGAGCTTAAAGTTTGGCTTATAAGTTCATAAGTATTGCGACAAAATACTTGTTAGAATAGTTCTTGATGTGCTCTTTCGTGTGTTCAGGTTTTTTAAAGCGTCTTGGAATGCCCTGCCCTGACATCTTCATTCATAACATTTTGAATTTTCTACGCCATCTTGGCACCACTGAGACGTACGGAACTTTGCCATGGACGTAATTTCACAAGTGAAATTTTAAATTTAACGCTGAAATTTCGCGCTACAATTAAGGAGTAATCTGTCACCTATGATATTATTGAGTTTATGCGCAGATTGGCAGGAATAAGAGGACGGCAAAACTCTTGTATGTGACAAACGTTACAGGGCTATTACTTGCCAGTTTTGTCGTGATCTTCACTTACCATTAATATTTTCTGGTCTTTTACAAAAATATCTGTTTAAAGAAAGGTGAAGTTTGGCGGAAAGTTACTTCAACAAAATTATTGTCACGTTTGTCACGAAAGGTTTGCCGTCTTCTTTTCGCTTCCGTGCTTTTGCGTAAGCTCCCTATTATCAATGTGACGATGCGTGTTGGTTCCGCTCTCCGAGTTGTCATGGTTACCTCTCGTGCTGCCTTGCGGCTCCTTCCTTTTGACCGGGCTCCTTCCCCATACCCATCTACTAGTGAGGGGTTTAATCAAGGACTAGCTACGTCATGTTTTCTTCCTCTTGAATTCTTTTGCTAAAATTTTCAAGTTTGTCTTTCCAGTCCCCAAATATATTCCCCACCATCCTTTTTTATTATAGTGACTAATAACTCTGAGGATGAATTTTTTGTTTTCCTTGCAAGTCCGTTTGCAAGAACTAAATTTATATACATATAAATAAAATTATTTAAATTGTACTCACTACATGCCTTCTCATTGGCTAAGAGCCTACGGTTAATGTAATTTGAAAATCAGCGCAACCTACAGATTGGTTAATTCAGATCTGCTAGCAGATAACTGACTTGTCTGCAGTTTGCGCGCGCAATGCATGATTTGCAAGAGCAATGTCAAACTATATTCTGTGCGACGATGTGTTGTTATTTTCTTCAAAACAATGTGTGATTCGTTTAGCTTTTTGTAATATATTGAATAAACCGAGGTCTCGGTAAGTGTTATCAGCTAGCTTCAGCCTTCGGCTCGGCTGGTAACACCTAGACCTTTGATTATTCCGGATATCACAAAATCTCATTCAATAGGTGTTCACAAGAGCCACGATAGGACAGAGAGGGACACTCAGGGCGTTGGCCGGGATATCTTAATCCCAAAAAAGTTATTTTTAGAACTATGCGGACCACGCGGAAACAAATTCCGGTAAACTGATTGACTTCCGGAAGACTCGCTTTCACGATTCAGCACGCCAATGCGAGGCGGCGTCAACAAATAAAAAAAATGGCGGCACAACTGGAGGGACTAGCAGCTAAATACAGGAATTGCACCGACCTGTGATTGGAAGATAAAAATAGTATGTCAGTGGCGATGACGTGACAATTCGTTACGATAGCCGTTTCAAGAGTGATGGTTTTTACACGAAAAAGACAGTCCACAGGAAAATACAATATAATATTAAATATTTCTCAAAGACAAACAGTGCCGAGTATTCTTTTGAAGTCGGCTGACTAGCTCGCTAAGAGTCAATGTCTTATCGAAGTTGAAGTTCAAATGTCGCAAATCGGATAACTTCACTGAGTGATTCTGAGATGAAACGTTTTGTCTGCATCCACATCGATCTTAGATTTTACCTCTTACATATTGAAGAAAAGCCATAAACAGAGCTTCAATGTCCACGTACACCCGACTGAACCTCGGTGCGATTCCTGCAGATACCGCTGTTCATACTAAATGCAGGAATTGCACCGGACGCGTTCTCGTCCCCAGAGTCACTCTAAGTTGAAACAAAAGAGCACGTGACCAAGAAAGACGGGCTCTGGGAACGAGAATACACCGGACGCTCATTGGTCGAATGCGCAACTTGGCATAAATTAAATAGCCGCGGGAAACTTTAATTGATTTTCTCGCGTTTAGATTTTCGCTAGATGATAGGACAAGACTTAGGCCACTGGAAATAACACATCACTTGTATTCGAAGTTAAATTATACTGAAGCAGGGGTTATAGGATCCTGACTAAAGGTCATCTAAACCTCGGGCTGATTGTTCTTTGCCTTTTTTTCTTTTACTGCTTGACTTTACAAGTGTAACATGCTCTCCTTGGTGAGTATATCGAATCTGAAATACCTCAGCAATGTAAAAATAATGGTCACCTAAACAGCCTGGTTAAATCCCATCATGTCCTTTGGAAGAGACAAAAATCCCCTTTTCAGCAAACTGAATAATCATTGCGTTTCAGCATGTAGCTGCGAGGACCATTTGACCTGCCATAGGGGGTAGGTGGGTGGGGTTGAGTTTTCACAGAAAAAAATCTGTGAAGAAACTAAAGACGAGTCAATGCTTGTTTTAAGCTAATAGAGTTACATGTCATGTTTACTCGCAAAATTTAGGGAAAACTAAGGCGGTCCACCTGTGAGAGTTTGCTGAAATTAGCTCTTGTATTTACACTTTGTGTACCTGTGGATAACATTTCTACATTGACTTATATTTTTTATTCATTTTTTTTTGGGGGGGTGGTGGAGGGAGTTGAGGGCAGTCAATGACTAAACACTCATCTGAATGAATCTGAACTCTATTCCATGCAGGCTGGTGACTGGCAAAAGTGCAGTAAGCAAGTAACCTCTTCTGCCCTTACCAGCCATACCAGGAGAGAGGCCTTTGAATTCAAGTTACCCCCCACAAAATCCCCTCGAAAGGCTGATGGTGATGTTGTTGTGTCAGATTCTCCAAGAATTACAACAAACCCCTTTTCATTGAAAACAATACCACCGTTTAGCCTGTTAACAACATGGGATAAGCAGCTAAGCTTCTGGCAGAAAGAAGCTAGAGAAGGGTTATTATTATCTGCAGCATGGCTCCCAATGTTTCAGCATATCTGATATTAAAGATATGTTAAAAGTACATAATTTATGCAAGGGATCTACAAAGGGCCGTCCAAGCAGAATTAAACTGGTTTTCAGAACCATACATTAAACCACTGACTGTCCAAATGTATCCTCCAGAAAGTTCCATAAAGAAATTTCAGGAAATTCTATACTTGAATCCTTTTGATTATATTATTCCAAACTATGACATGACACCAAATGAAGTGGCTTCTCTCTGTGTCACACGATGGGTTTTAAGTGACCCTCTTATGTGGATGGCTTAAAACATTAAACAAAGAACAGTCAGATTTCTATTGCTGTGTCATAAATTCAGTGAATGACGTGGAACGTTTAGCAACAAGAAAGTTGCAATCAAAACACCTGAAGGGCTTTTTCTTTTTTGTGAATGTTTCAAAAAGTGGTGGCAAGACAGTCCTTGGGACAGATGTTATAAGGGGGGCCCACTATACAAAGGTCACGCATGGCTGATGTGGCCTTTGACATTATTAGTTGACAGTATTTACACACATATGTACTGTTTCATGCACTCAAAAACTGTTTAATTTGTTTTCTGTACATTTGAAATCTTCTATTTGTTTTAAATTTGTTTTTTTTTTTGCAAAACTACTACCAGGGATAATCAACTTTTTGCCGGCTGTGAAATATAGCCATAAGCTGTGAGCATGAATGTCTGACTTTCTTAGCATTATATTTCATTGCCGAAATGTTATCTAGGTAACAGATATATATGTTGGCTAGTTTATACATAAGCTTAATATATGTATGTTGTGGTTCAATTTTGTCCTTGGCTTATATTTTCCTTTGTTTTTGTGTATGGTAATCTATGATAATGAGTTTACAACAAAGGAAACTAAAATTTAAACCACGGATGAAATTGAACAACAACATATACACTTATATAAACAAACTGTGTTATTTTTCCTTTAAATTATTAATAACAAACAATAAATGTGTTGTTCCAGGAAATATCCATACTCCCTCCAAGGATGGTATTTTCCTTGGGATGCCCCCACCATTCGGAAAATTCCAGGTTAATTTCATACTTTTCTTTAAAAATCTTGGCCTTTCAAACCCCCCTCCCCTTAATATACAGTATTTAATATACTTAACAGTTAGTGAATGAGGCTGAGTATCTTATGAAGAATTGTGGAGATCGAGGAGGGTGTTATCCGTCGAGGCCATAGGCCGAGGCGGATAACACCCTCCGAGATCTCCATAATTCTTCATATGATACGAAAGCCGAATTCAATAACTGTTTTATTATTCATTCAAAATAATTCCTAGTTTTAAAAACATACCTAAAACATGCTTATCTCCATCGATGTTCACTTCATCTTCGATAGTGTACGTTTAGGTTTGTCCCGCTCCGCAAATATTCTCCAAATAGCAGATGTCGCTCTTCGAGTTGTCTTCTTACTGTTCTTGCCATGTTTTTAGCTATTTTTTCGCCTAGCTCTTACTCTTGAAACGAGTGAAATGTCCGCCATTTTTTCAAGTTCACAACCAAAACAACTCAACCTCGTCCCCAGGTCTTCTCGGTTAACGCTGCCTTAACCTGTGAAAACGCTGCATTCTTGACGTCATTTCCTCGTTAAAGTCAAATTTCTTCCAAATTTGGTCATCAGTAACTGGTTATGGTGAATTAAACGTGTGCTTTTAGCCAATCAGAATCGGGGAAATATTTTGAATGAATAATAAAGTATAATAATATACAGTATTTATAGAGCGCTAATTCCCAATGGTCCAAATTTCCAATGAGTATCCTTGGCGGTTGGTGGGTATGTTTATTTTCTGGAACCACACAATCCAAATAAATTACACTAGCCTTTTTGAGGGAGGAACTCCTGTATAAAAGTTACAGGGATTGC